TACAGGAGTGCAGGGAAGTGGGAGCCAGAAAGGGAAGTGAACAGCGCGGTGCGGGAGGAGGCCAGGCACAGCAGAGAGCACCACAGCCGGGGTGATAAACCCGATCCGCCGGGCGGGCGGCGCTGGGTCCCTGCCAGGCCCAGGCCCAGGGGGACTTCGAGGGGGCTCGGGGACAGCGAAGGCGTGAGGGAGATCTAACCACAAGTGCCGGAGTGACAGCTGTTCGGGGGCGGGAACGGGGTACCAGGGTGCAGCGCCCCACCTCCAGGCCCGTTCGGAACAGGCCCATAGGGGCTGAAAGTCAGGCCTGTCTGGCAGCCGCTTGGTGGCCCCGTGTGGGTCTCAGCCCCGTTCCTGGGGGGGCAAAGCGCCCATGTCACATGAACCACCATCACGGCTGGTGCTAACTGGCCCCTTTGCCAGCCGCCTCCGCAGAGAGGCCAGAGCCTGCCTGGGCCACGGAGCCCAAGCCCCCTCCACTTGGGCCGTGCGTGAGGGGAGCCTGCCGTGCCCAGCCTGGGCTGCTCAGCTCCGGAGATGTGCAGAAGCTGCCAGTCTGGGGCAGGCTGAGCCTGGCCAGGGGCCGTGCCCGTCTTCCTGGGCCTGGAAGGCTGGACGCTGCAGTTCGCCTGGGGCCACATCCCAGGAGGCCCCAGTGCCCGGTGGACGTCGTGTCCCAGGAGGGCCCAGTCATAGCACGATCCCAGGCAGGGTCCCCCTTGCCCAGGGTGCCCGCCCCAGCCATGCTCCATCAGGGCAATTCCTGGAGTGGGCTGTTCATTGCCTCTCCCTGCCCCACACAGGACCCCGGCCTGGCTGTGATGCAAACTGCAGTGGGAGCAAAAGTCTGGCTCTGGGATCGTGCCCCCCAATCGCTCCCCCATGGCAGCTGTAAGGATCACAGCCCCCAGCCCATCCCCCCAGCTCGGTTCCAGGCTTCCTGCCATTGTCACGGGGTCAGCGGGTGGCTCTTCTCTGCCTGGGGTCAGGGGCCCATGGCTGGCAAAGCTACTTCCTTCCCGGCTCACCCTACAGCCCTGGGCCCCCCAAGAGACCCTGCTGTGGGCCACAGGCTCTGGGCCGGGGCGGGGCTGGGCATGATTGGTCCCGTCTGTGGCTGCAGCTCGCCCGCGGCTCAGCGGGACCCGCTCCCTAGGGCAGGCGAGCCCTGAGCTCCCAGGGGCCAGCTCCCCTCGCCCTCTGACCTCCCACCCGCTGTCTGTCTGTCCGTCTGTCTTGAGATCCCCTCCCCCCCTTTGGGAGACCCTCCGCACCCTCCAACTGCAGAGTTAGCCCCACAGCAGAGCTTCCCATTCTCTGACCCTCCCTGCCGGTTCCGCCCCCCAGCCGCAGGCGCGGTCAGGTTCCCATCCCAGCCTGCACGAGGGCAGCAGAAGGGCGACCCCTGGATGGGGCTGGCCCAGGGGATGCAAGCCCTGCCCTTCTGCAGGTACAGCATGTTACAAACCCCACCCTGCCAGGTGCATGGCCAGCCCCACTGGTGCCCAGCGCTGCCCCTACGAGGCCTGGGTTCGTCCCCACCTCAGCGCTCGCTCGCTGGGCTGCTCTGGCCGTCCCAGGCCCCAGGCTGTCCCCCACCCCACCCTGCGATGTCCTCCATGCAGCCTGTCCTGGGGAGCGGCCGCCTCTGAGCTGGGGTGAGGGCTCCCGCGTGAGGCTGTGGCCTGCAGGCGGGCGGGGGGGGGGCTGCCACAGCTCCCCATAGCTCTCCAGCCCACGTGGCTGGGGCCCAGAGGCTAACGGACCAGCCTTCCCAGCCCTCAGGGGAAGGCGTCATCAGCCCACTTTACAGGTGGCTAAACTGAAGCCCAGAAGTCAGTCAGCAGAAAAGCTGGGGCCAGAGCCCAGGAGTCCTGACTGCCTCCCCCACTCGAGCCCTCTCTCACCCAGAGCCAGGGCAGAACCCAGGAGTCCTGCCCACCCCCCCCTCGCCTGCTCTAACCCAACCCCCTCCCACCCAAAGCTGGGGATAGAACCCAGGAGTCCTGGCGCCAAGCCTGCCGCCCTCACTGCTAGACCAGGTTTCCTGCCATGACCCCAGTGACCAGCTGGGGGAGCCAGGAACAGCAGTGAGATTCTCCATGTGCCTACTGGGGGCAGGTTACAGGAGCAGGTAGATGGGGGGGGGGGGGACAGGGCAGAGTCCCGGGGACCCGTGGTGCACAAATCCTGTTCCCCAGGGCGGGGGCGTCAGAGGCTGGTTTTTGCAGCCCCGGGCCCCCAGCCAGCCGGGCGCTCGCCCAGGCGGGGCGGTGCAGTGGGGGGGGGGGCGCTTTGCGGCTGGCCTGGCTGCTGACTTTGACAGATGAGCCCAGGGAACGTCCCGTTCAGGCCTGTGCGTTCCTGGCAGGGCCGGAGGTGCCTGCTCAGCCCTGCTGCCTCCCTCGCATTCCTGGCAGGGGCCAGGGCTTCCCGGCTCCGAGCGGGGGCTGCCTGGCTCTCCTGGGGCAAGACTGGGCTGAGCCCCCCCACCCCCAGTGTCCCACATGCCCAGCCAGCCTCCCAGATTGGCTCTGCAGAGAGGTGCCCCTACAATCCTGGGGGGTCAGGCTCAGGGGTGCTGGCACGTGTGTATGAGGTGTAGGGGGGAGGGCAGGAGCACGGGTGCTGGCAGAGCTGGTGTCCCACTATGGTCCCTCCCCAGTTCATCCCATTCCCCGTGAGGCAGGACACCCCCCCACCCCCTCCGTCGGTGCCCGCAGAGGGACCGGCCCAGACCGCCTTGGGTCAGGGGAAGCCGCACAGCCGGGCCCGGCTAGTGCAACCAGCCAGCTCCCCTGGGCCTGACAGACACCATCGAGCTGGGGCTCCAGCCCCACCTGAGGGAGCGGCAGAGACCCAGTGCCCTGGGGGTGCCGTGTGGCCCCCTGGGCTCAGTCCAGGAGGGATCCCCAGGGGAGCAGCACTCCCCCACGCTGCAGCAGAGGTGGGAGATGCCGCTGCTGGGGGGCTGGGCAGCCCTGAGCCACCGCGGTGCCCACACGGGATCCCAATTGAACCTGTCGATGCAGCGCCCCTGCCCTGCAAGCTCCCCTACTCCCAGAGCTGGCCCTTCCTCCGCACACGAGCCCCCCCCACTCCAGGGGCTGGCCCTGCCTCCCCCCAGGGCCCACGGGCGTCACCACGCAGAGGGCAAGATACACAGGCTTTATTACAAAGAGTAGAGCTCTGGTGACGACACCCTGACAGGGAGCCCCCCCACTGTGTGTGCGCGAGGGGGACGGGGGGGCAATGCCCAGCTGTGTGAGCTCCCCCCACCCTTCGGTAAAGGGCAGCTCCTCCCCACCCGTGGCTCCGGGGACGAGGCCCCCCAGGGTACAAGTCTCCGGGCTCGCGGGGATGGGATCTGCTCCTCGGATGTGGCTCGGGGCCTCACCGCAGGGGTGGAGAGAAGGGGGCAGCTCCGAGTCCAGCTCCCTGGGGCTCAGGGCTGGGAATGGGGATGGGCCAGTGGTTCTGCTCCCGGGCTTTTCGCGAGCCAAGGGTGGGGGCACTGGGAGGTGGGTGGGGCTGGGGGTGCCACGCTGCTGCAGGGGTATCACCCCCCCCAGGGTTCAGTGCAACCATTCCGTGCTTCCCCCTCACCCGACTCAGGCTGGCGGGCGGCAGAGACCCTTGGCGGGGGGGAGGGGGTGTTTTAAGTGTCTTTGGAGGCCCCGCTGGGAGGGCTGGGTCCACACACAGCCCCCGGGGTGTTGCTGGGCTCAGTGGGGCCCCCCCTGCAGGGCCCCGTTCAGCCCCCGGCTGGGGCGTGTGTGGGAGGGGCCGATGCCCGGAGGAGAAGCAGGATGGTCCGGCGCGCAGGTGGATGCTGGTCCCTCAGTAGGCAGGGGGCCGGTCAGCCCCGCGTGCTGCTCATGCGCTCACCCAGCAGCCAGTACGTCCGCATCTTGCCCTTGCCCTGCGGGAGGAGAGGAAGCTCAGGGGGGGATCCCGGGGTGCTCCCCCCATCCCCATGCAGGGCCCCAGGCAGCCTGGCCTGGGAGCGGGGTGCAGGCCAGGGGCAGAGTCCGCTCCGACAGGTGTTAGGAGATGTGGCAGGGTCGGGGGCAGCCCAACCCAGGCGGGGCTCGAGGGAGGGAGCGTGGGGGGGGGGGGCAGCTGGCTTTGCACAGGAACAGGACTCCATGGGGAGGGTACTAGTGCCCGGGGGAAGACAGTGGCGGGGGGACTGATGAGGCTGGTGCGGGCAGGGGGAGGCCATGCTTCCATCACCTTCATCTCCACATCCCCACGCAGCTCCAGCTCGAAGCAGCCGACCTCCTCCAGGACGCTCTTGGTGGCCGACGACAGGTGGATCTTCAGGGCTGGAACCACAGACAGGGGGCTGTGGGTAGCGCGGGGACATGGCCCCCCTGCCCGCAGAGACCCAGCCCCCTCCAGCTCCCTGCAGCCACCTGCCCGGCCTCGGCTCAGCTCCTGCAGAGGACGACTGGCCCCGTCCAGCCAGCTCCAGCCCCCCCCTCCACTCTGCTGGCCCCCCTGCTCCCCAGCACCCCTCCCCCCTCCCCACCCAGTGCTCCCCTCTGTCCCCCATTTGCTGGCACCACCCTCCCGCCGCAGTGCCCCTCTCTGCCCCCCACACCTCAGCCCTGTGCCTGGCCCCTTTACCTTCCCCATTGGACTCCATCCGTGAGGCCGTGTTCACCGTGTCCCCAAAGAGGCAATAACGGGGCATCTTCAGACCGACCACCCCCGCGCAGACCGGGCCTGGGACAGGAGAGAGAGTGTTGGGCACCCCACTGCAGGCTGCGCCCAGGGCTGACCCCTCCCCTGCCCGGATCACATACATTCGAATCAACCAGCCCTTGCACTGATAGTGCTGGGCTTGTGCAAAGGGCCTCGCACGCTAGCGGCTCCCTGGGTGCGGCTGGGAAGGTCCCCAGCCAGCCGGTGGTAGAGCTAGGAATGGAACCCAGGAGTCCTGGCCCTCAGTCTCCCCCCCCCCCTCAACCACTAGACCCTGTGACGTTGCACTCCATATGCGTTATGGAAATACGCTGATGAATATGACATCACTGGAATTTGCTTTACACTAAATACCCCTTGTATGCTGCCATTAGAAAGCTTGTAATCTACTAAGTGTGTTCATCCTATTTGTTCGCATGTCTTATTTCTATGTCTGGAGTTGGGAGAGTAAGATATAAACTTGTATCACGGATGGAAACGTATTAAGTGGAGGCCATTAAGGATGCTCCAGAAACAATCCGTTGTAAATATCCTTAGTTACTTGAAAGCCTTCCTGTGTACATGTGGGGCAGCCCATGGGGAATGGAGACTAGGGGTCTTACAGTGACATGTGACCATGTCACACGATACTAGAATCCATCTTAAATCTGGTTCTTTTCCATTTAGAAGCAGGGGTGGGGACCCAGAGAAACAAAAGAGTCCCGCCTTGTGCCAAAGCTATAAAACGGGAGTGGAGCAGGACAAAGGGGGCGGCCAGTCATGAGAAAACCCCTGCTTACCACCTGAGACGGCTGCTGGAACTAACAAGGACTGTACCAGGGGAAAGGATTGGGCCCAGACTAGGAAGGAGTCTAGTCTGTGAAAGAAGCTGATTGGAACAGCTCTGAGGGTGAGATATTACCTGTATTCAGTTTCTTAATGCATTAGGCTTAGACTTGCGTGTTTTTGCTTTATTTTGATTGGTGACTTACTCTGGTCTGCCTGTTATTACTTGAAACCATTTAACTCCTAATTTTTATACTTAATAAAATCACTTTTGTTTATTAATAAACCCAGAGTAAGTGATTAATCCCTGGGGGAGCAAACAGCTGTGCATATCTCTCTATCAGTGTTATAGAGGGCGGATAATTTATGAGTTTACCCTGTATAAGCTTTATACAGAGTAAAATGGATTTATTTGGGGTTCAGGCTCCCAGGAAGGCAGAACACTGGGAAAGTCCCTGTTAACTGAGAAGCCCCTGGGCTGAGTGAATCTCAGTTTCAGTGAACTGCAGAGGGGCGTGGCCCAACCTCTGGGTCTGTGCTGGAGCTGACTGGAGTGTCTAACTCCGCAAGAGAGGAGTGGAGGGGCACCTGTTCTGGCAGGAGGGTTGTTCTCAGTGGTATCCCAGCTCATCGAGTGACAGTCTCGAGGGGAGTCTCTGTGACCGAACCCGTCACAGACCCCACTCCCTTCCCAGAGCGGAGATAGAACCCAGGAGTCCTGGCTCCAAGTCCCATGCAAAGGGCCCAGTCTATTTAGGGTCAGAGCGAGACAGGCTCTTGTAGAGCGGCATGGCAAGGGGAGGGGCAGGAGGGGGCTTCTGCCCCGTAGAGGTACCAGGTGCCATTGCCGCCCTTGGCCCTCTGTGCACCCCAGTGTGTGCATGGGGGGGGTTACCCTAGGGGCTCCCTGCAGCCCATTCCCTGGCACTGCCTGGGGCCACGCTGTGCTTGCTCAAGGCCCTCCCAGCCGCGCCCCCCTCCCCCTCCGCTCACCGCTGTGGATCCCGATGCGCAGCTTGAGTTGCTGGTCTGGCCGGTGGCGGATCTTGAAGGTGCGCACGGCGTCGAGCAGGGCCAGCGACATGCGGGCCACCTCGCAGGCGTGCAGTTTGCCGTTGCGCACCGGCAGCCCCGACACCACCATGTAGGCGTCGCCGATCGTCTCCACCTGCAGGGGAGGGGGGAGCACAGCCCTGGGGCAAACCAGCCGCACACGCTGCCCCCACCTCCCCGGACACCTCTCGCTCTGGGCCTTGTTGTGAGGCTTGAGCCATTGGAGCAATGGGGGGGGGCATATGTGTCCAGGCAGCTTAAGTGTGTGTGTGTGTGTGCACCCTCGCACGTGTGTGTGTGCACCCTCGCACGTGTGTGTGTGCACCCTCGCACGTGTGCACGCCTGTGCCCAGGCAACCTCAGCAGACCAGGAGCGTTGCACTCGGCTGACGCGCCCTCTTGCCTCTGGCCATGAGCTGCCCCCATCTGACAGGGTCTGGAGGAAACTCCTCCTTACCCCAGAACTGCCCCTTCCTCCCAGCGACAGGAGACTGGTCTGGGCAGGCCTGGCAGCGCCTCTGCTCCCTGGCACTGGCCCTCGGAGGGCCTGGCAGCGAGTGTGGCTAGGGGCAGTGCCAGCCCCTCTCACAGAGCAGCAGGGGCACGGCTGGGGGGCACGGAGCTGCAGAAGCTGCCTCCGGAGTGAGGATTTCCAGAGCCAGCCAGCAGGGGGCGGCCTCCGCTCCAGGGCAGAGCTGGGGGCACTTCACGGCAGTGGCGTCTCCACCAGGGCAGCAGCAGGCCGGGGGGCTGTCCCGGGGCGGGGAGCAGCTATTTGTTCGTGCCAGAACCGGCAGTCTAAGTGGAGGCCAGTGGAGGCCAGATCTCTGCGCCCCCGGCAGCCCCCCCGTCCCCCCCCCCCCCCCCCGCCCCCCCCCCCCCCTCCCCTTGTAGACGTCGAAGTTGTCGATGATGGCGTCGAAGCAGGTGTACAGGTCGTTCAGCAAGGTCACAACCTGCAACGCACGCAGCGGGGGGAGGGGGAGGTGAGAGGCTGCGGGGGCTCGGCCTGGCTTGATCCCCCACCCCAGGGCAGTGAGCGCTCCCCCCCTTATGAGCCAGCCCCAGGGAGGAGGGAGATAGGCGGGGAGGGTGGGGGGGGGGGGCAGTGCTGAGCCCTCCCCCTGGCCGCAGGCTCCTGCCCAGGGGGCCCGGGCTGCGCCGTCCCTGAAGCAGTGATGCAGGCAGGGCACCTCGGAGACGGAGCCTGGCAGCTCTGCCGAAGCAGAGGCTGTGCCCGCCGGTGGGGGTGGGAGCCAGGGCTCCAAGCGCCACCAGCTTTGAACCCCGAGACGGGGGCCCTGGCCAGCTCCAAGCGCCGCCAGTTCTCTCCTGCCGCCTTCCTCCTCCCCGGCACTGCAACCACAGGCAGGAGTCCCCTCCCCAACCCCTGGGGGCTAGACAGCAGCTGTGCCCGGGGGGCTGGGACAGAGACCCCAGGGGAGCACCACAGATCTCCCCCAGTGACCCCCGGGGGCTCTCACCCCGCCCCCCGGTTACCTGCATGGGGGGGGGCTGCTCTCACCCCGCACTCCCGGTTACCTGCATGGGGGTGCTCTCTGCCGACAGGGCTGTGAACCCCACGATGTCGCTGAAGTAGATGGTGACGTTGTCGAAGGCCTCAGCCTGCACCGTCTCCCCGCGCTTCAGCTGCTCGGCCACAGAGCTGGGGGACAGGGAGAGCAGGGTGAGGGATGGGGGCAGAAGGGGCCTGGATGTCCAGGTGTTTGGGGGGCTGGGGGAGGAGGAGCGGGCCCCCATAGCACTGGGGGGGCTGAGGGTGGAACCTGGGTGCCAATGGGGCAGTCTAGGATCTGGTCTCGGGCACGAGGCCCTCGGGAGTATGGGGGGTTAAGGAGCCTGCCTGGGGCGGGTGGGTCCGGCCCATCACTCACTGGGGCAGGATCTGGTAGAGCAGGGCCTCGGCCTTGCGCTTCTCCTCCAGGTAGGCCTGCGTCCGCTCCTCCACCAGCTCCTCCAGGTTGTTGGCGTACTGCTCCATGCGCGACAACAGGTTGTCCAGGATGTTGCTGGTGTTTTCCCTGCAACGCACGGGGCCGTGAGGATGCTGGGCCGCGGGAACGACCCTTTCTCCCACCCTCGCAGCTCCCTCTCCTCCAGACCTCACGCCAGCCAC